AGCTGCGACCCTTTTGGGCGCCATGGCGGATAGGAAAATTGTAGCGAAAATTTAAAAAATTTACAGTCGCCAATTTGGCGACCTTTGTTCGGCAATTTGGTTTTTCTAGGTCGTTAAATAGCGACTTAGAGGCCCAAATGTTCTAACTTGATCGATTTTTAGCAATGCTTGTTCAGTCGAGCCCAGTACCTTAGCCATTACTGATAAAGTGCGGATGTGGATCGCGACGTTCGTTTGACATTTGGTGAGTCAACTTCCTCGCCTGAAGAAGTCTAGCAGTATGCGGTCGAAACGTCGCGATCCACCACTTAAACGATTACACCGAAGAACAAGCAATTATGCATCATTACCAGTATGATCGCATTAATGGAAAACCACAAACGTTTTTAACGATATTTATATTTATTTCACAGGTTGATATATCATATAAGAAGCCCATCCTTAATCTTGACTTGTACGACACCACAGAGGACGACGATATCTTTATTAATCAAGTACTTGTGGAGACAGGAATAGCAGATTTTTTGCAAAATCCTGCAGAACGGACAGGTGAATCTTTGGTGAAGGAAATGCTTTTCGTTTCGCATGTACCTTGTTGTATTTGTTGAGCATTTGCTGTTCGGTCGTGCAATAACTCGGTTGGTCATTCGAACGCTAGACGTTCAGTCGAACGGTCATCGGACGGTCGGCTGATTGTTGGGTTGGCTTGTCGGACGGTTACCTGTTCGTTTGACGGTTTGGACGGTTTTTACAACCTGTCGGGCTGTCTGTAGATCGTTAGCTCGGTCTTTAGGATTGTCGCTCGAGCGTTCAGATGATCGGTTTTCGTGTCGGACGGTCGATCGAACGTTCGGTTGGTCGATCAGTATATCCGACGAGCACTCGTTAACGATGGATTTCAACATGCTGGAAATATTAACCGAACCTTTATTACTTTCCATTAGGAAATGATGTTATGACGGTTCAACTCACTCTCGAAGGTTTAGAGAACGCTGCTTCAAGTATGCAACAACAAGGTATCTTACCCGCACACGTTTGGATAGTTAAAGTTAAGGGCTGTTTAAAACATAATTAACGATTAGACCCCCCAAGAGTGACTACCGTCTGATTTCTTCTTACGATATCACCCCTGAATCAGACATTAAGGTCATGAGAATAAAGAAATGATAGAGGAGTTCTTGATTGTTCAACAAATTCTCCTTGTCAGAACCTTAAGAAATCTACAGAGAGCAGTATGGCGAATATGCATATAGATGATAAGGTGCAAAGGGTTAAGCTAACACACGACCGTCAACACGACTGAAGCGGGCTGTTGGCGAAAGAGATTTTAAAGGGGAACTGAACCCTAAAAATGAACCATTATTAAATTGCAGCTTATAGTTCAAATAGCAGTGTTCGAGGTTTTTTTCAGTCTTTGGGTCCAACTTCGCCTCGGAAAAATAGTTTTAAGTGGTATTTTGGCCTCGTAGTACGGCGGCTCAGAAAAGCGATGTCAGCGGTCAATTTAGCTCGCTCTTACGTCACTGGTGGGGAAGAAAGATAATAAACCCGTACTCTTCCTACAGCCGAAATTTCGTTTGGTTATGGAGACATCGAAATTGCGTGACCTGTAATGGGGATTAACTACGAAAATGAAATAGTAGCACTTGTTTTTCTTAAGTTAGTTCCCCACCACTGACGTCATAAACGACCGGTGCTGACCTATTTTGAGCTGACGGTCTTACAGCCCCAAAAGCGGGAAAAAGGCAACTTCAAATCGAATTTTCTCGTAAAAAACAAGAAGTGAACGAAAATGAATATCGACACTTTATCTTACTCCTCTAAAGCTAACTAGAAATGAATGCAAACAATATACTAATTTTAGACTTCAGTTCCCCTTTAATGGTAGTTGCGAGTTGGTTACTTTCTTCGTTCTCATTGTTGCGCTCAAACACGTTTCATCCGATGATCGCCAATACGACTGAAGCTGGGCTGTGTACAAAAGAGATTTTAATGGTAGTTGCCAGCAGGTGACTTTCTTCGTTTTCTTTGTTGCGCTCAAACACGTTTCATCTGATGATGGTTCACGGCCAGGAAAATATTTTTCAGCAATAAAGCGTCTTTACAGCTCTTCGTCTTCGTATTTCGCTTTGGGGAGAAATTTTTACCATTCGGTGTTTTGGCGATATATTGCTTCACTTGCATGATGATTGAAACGAAATTTCCAAACGTCTTTGTGCGGCCGCGTAAGAAGATAAATTTGGCACCCTGCCTTCTCGGCTGATGTGCCAACGAAAGTACCGTCATAACATGAGGAAAACTACAAAAAAATGTGGGTTTGATACGATAGAAAATTACCCCAATGGAAGGACAAACTAGAATAGTTCAAGAATGGCTAACCCTGTAACTCCCATGATTTTAGTGACCAAGACAGAATTTCTCCTCAAAATTTCAATAGTGTCAAGTAGACAAGTGATAGGAATGAAGAAAAACATCAATTAGTTTAGTTTAGTTTAGTTTAGTTTATTAGCTTCGCCGACCGGCAGGGACACCGCAACAGCTTGCGTCAATTACTGGGGTAAACCCACCCATCCCAACCCAGGGGAGGACATCCATCACACAGTAATCTCGTGCGTGGGAAATTAACGTCTCCTATCCCTAACCCTGCAGGAGACGGAGCCTACGGTTTATTCGTCCTTATTCGAGAAGACTAGAATAGCTAACCATTTCTTGATGTTCTAGAAAGGTAGCAAATTCTTCTCAATTATTTTAAGACCTTGAGTGTTGGTTCGGCCGGGGCTCGAACCCTCAACCTCTCCCGCAGAACAGTCCAGCGCACTATCCATTGAGCTAACTTGGCGGATTATTAGTTGATCCAGTACCAAATTCTTAGAACTGACGCCATAAGAATTGAGTGACAGACAGAGAGGAGAATTGATAATGAGATCTTGGGAGTGAAAGGGTGAAAGATGGGGAAGATCGTCACGGATGAAGAATTTAGAAATATATTTATTGAAAAAACGCTTAAAGCTTCACTTAGCTTCTTCCATGAGTGACCAGGACATAATTTCCCCTTAACGTATCAATACTTTATCAAGCTGACAAGCAAAATATCTACTAGGGGACATACATAACCCGTGTTACTGAACTACAATTTTCACAAGTAAAAATACTCATCTTTCGAGTACTTATCTGGACAGGTTCACCCTCAGATGCAAAGGAGGCAAAGGCTCTGACAAGTCCAGGAAGCTCAACCAGTCCGCTGAAAGACTGGGATCCAATGATGGAAGATTTTCTTTCATCTAAAAACAGATATGCTGTAGACCGTGATGACTTGGAGATCGTCTTTCAAGGATACCGTAAGTATCCAAGCTTTCCCTCTGGAGCCCATAACTTGAGTGGTTTTATCGGAAGTGTTACAGAAGCTTGTTTGTAAGTCTGCCCTTTGGAGTGTTCATTATGGGAAAAATAACTCAAGTATGTGCTGCTCAGTAATATTTGTGTGAGTGGTCACACATACTAGGGTATTATTTATGTACTCGAAAGTTCAAACTACATACACCTTGTGATAGTGTAGTCTGATCGTCCGGGTGAGTGTAGTCTTGAGAAGGACAGTTGTTGGTTCTAGTGACTGACGTTTCGAAAACCTGGACGAAAGTCGTTATCAGAATCAAGTGAATAGTTGTTTTCATTTGAATGCACCAAGTACGATTCGTGCAAACTGACTGATCGGGTTAGCTGTGATGTTATTGGCTGTTAGACTCAAATGGCGTCAGTCGGTCGTGATTGGTCATTTTCTATCCGTCGGTAAAGTTAGGTCGTTCTGTTCGTTTGTGATGTTACCGTCGTAAAAAAGTCGTTTGTATGGTGTCGGCAGTAGTTGACATCTGTTGAGGGGATAATAATAATAATGTTAATAATAATTTAATATTTATATTGCGCAAATTAACATGTGGATATGATCAAATGCGCATCACAACACTTTTCGGAGGACTTTGGCCAGTCTGCATCGGCAGTTTACAAACAATCGAAGGAAACTTATTTGAAGATGCCCCCTCCCCCCAATTCCCAGTAAACATGCCAGCCGCTTTACCGCTTCTGTTCATATCGATCTCTTCCCCCCACACATCCCACCCTAGGGGAGGACATCCACATCACAGTAATCTCGTGTGTGGTTCTTTAACGTCCCCTGCCTAACCAAATTAGCTAATGAATAGATGTAGAAGACGGGACCTACGGTTTATTCGGCCGTATCCGAGAAGACTAGAACGTCTATCCATTTCTTGATATTATAGAAAGGTAGCGCATTCTCCTCAGTTATTTTAAGACCTTTAGTGTTGGTCCGGCCGGGGCTCGAACCATCGACCTCGACCTCCCGCACAACAGTCCAGCGCTCTAACCAATTGAGCTAACCGGGAGGCGGTGCCAAGCTTTCCAGAGACAGTCGTTGAAAAAAGTTAGGGTTGTAGGTTAGACATTGTGCAGTGTCCGAAGCCGCAGTAAAGGGTGCCACATGAAAGTACTTTTTATTTGAATGGTCACACACAAAGGTTTCATTTACGGACTCAAAAGCTAGAACCACCCTGAGCGGCGGCGTAGTAAACATGAAAGTATGGGTACTAACAATACGGACCCACGCGGACCTCGCTCGCTTTTTTTCCCATTAAACTTTGGTTTTTATTTCAGAGGATCTGAGCAGAAGAGTGTGCCATTATTACCAGACAAGATCAGGTTGCTGGCGAGGAGACCAGTGCCCCAATCTTCACGTTAAAAAAGGTAATACTTGTAACTGCGTGGTACCTCAATGGACTGAAGCTTCCATGCGCAACATTTGAAGCAAAGCTAGCGAATAGATCGTGTGTTTTTCGCGTCAGTTACTCACTGGATTTCGCGCCAAGTTATTGTTTCTTGGTTCTGTAGACCCCTGAGGGGGGGGTGGGGGTGTGTGCGCTCCCCTCCCCCTCCACCTCATCCTCTGCAATTGAATAAAGGGGGATGCTCGGCTTGAAAGAGGTACTTTTTTCAGACAACGTAGATAATGAGGCTAAGGGTAACCTTGTTAAGATACAGACGTTGCTGCTTTTCAAATGAGAATGACTTTGTTATCCTGCCCACTAGATACTGTTCTTCGTCACAGCAAGGTCACCTTTAGCCTCACTCCAAATCAAAGGCTTGGCAACTAAGTACACAACTGTAAAATGGCGTATATGAGATACAAAGAATGGCAAAGAAATACATCAGAAGGTATTTGAAAGGGTGTAAAGATTCGTCTGGTGGAGCACTTTTGAAACCGAAAACTTTCCTTCAAAAAGTTCCCATTTCGATTTCTGATGGATAGAAGCAATTTGAGGTTTAATTTCATTTCCTCCTTGATTAGTGTTAAATTGAAGCTCATTCGACAGGTTTCAAATTTTGCCTCGCATATAAGATGTTAAAAACTGTAAACCCTTCGATTTAGATAGATCTGATGCTATGTCACTGCTTAAACCTGCAGGCGAAGAGCTTCATGATTACGTGGAGGCATTTTGTGACAACAGGGATTCCTCTGTCACGCTACCTGATATCGGTACCTGGGTTGCAGTTCGTGTCACGGCCATCTTCAATCCAGGACATTTCTGGGTGCAGTTCCCATACGGAACAGAACCAATAGAGAAGCACATCATGGCAGGTATGTTTTTGGTATAGATGAGCATTCTCAGAAACTCTATAGAGGTTCAGTCTTGTATATGTTTTAGAAGAGTGTGTGGTCCTATGGCGCACTAGAATACAGATGAAAAGGTCCAAGCTTTTCCCTTTACTCCCTCCCAAACATCAATTTAATAATGTGGGGGGTGGGGTGGGGAGGAGTTTCTAATTAAGCAATACAGCACATTTTCCCGGGCTCTTTGTGATAAAGCCGCGCGGGATGCTGGTAGAACACGAGAAAAGCTAAAAAAAATCACTCCCCTTTGGCTCGTGGGTTATAACCTTGCCAAGTGTTCTCCCAACATTGCAAGTGGCTCTATCACGTCGTAGAGCCCGGAACAATGCGTTCTATTGCTTTTATGACATACCGATCAAATGCGGGATCTAAAGCCTGATAAAGCGTTCGCTTGGAAACTGAATTGATTTATCAGACGATGCGTTCTATGGTGTTACGTTGGTAAGGGGTATTTGAATATAAGGTAATTTGGTGATATCAACTAAGTTGAAATTGTAAATTGGCCTCCGTAATGAGTTAGAAAGCTGACGTTGCGAGCGTTAGTCCTACGTCTTTCGCTCTGACGAAGGGCTAACGCTCGAAAAGTCAGCTTTTTAACTCTTTAGGGTGGCCAATTTACAATTTCAACTTAGTTGATATAACCAAATGACCTTGTTACCCCCACGGACGCAGCACCACAGTTTCTTTAGAAACTTACCCCCCCGGTATTTCAAGATAACTTTGTTTTATCAACTGAGTTGATTAGGTCAATTAGCCCAACGTAAAGAGTTTCTAAAGATGAATTTTCGAGCGTTTCGTCAGTATGCTTTTTCTCTATAGTCTTCTCTGTACCTTTCTTATGTTGCTGTCGAAGAGAATTCGTTCACTCCTCAAGAGCTTTGTTAAGTCGCCGATGCAATTTTCCCTTTCGTAAACAGCCGTTGTCATTTGAAACGGTCGTTGCCATTTCCGGTAACAGTCGTTGCCATTTCCGGTAACAGTCGTTGCCATTCATTACAAAATGGTAACGACCGTTTACGAAAGGGAAAATTGCGTTGCCGATCATTCCCTTTATTCTCGTGACCTTAATGGTTGATTTAGCAGTGATGTTGTGTGGAGAAATTAGATCTAGGGTTTGGCTCGCGTGAAGGACTGGACACAACTCGTACATAATTCTCGTATCATGTTACATCGTCTCCACGGTTTTTTAACCTAGCTCCTATTTCTCGCTATTAATTGATTTATTGATTGATTTTCAGCGAGGTTGAATCGAGAGTTCGAATTTGACAACGGAGAGCAAGAAGATCTTGATTCTCTGATGAACAAACTCGGGTAATTTTTTTAATTATTTTAGTTTAATTAGTTTGTTGTGTTTCATTGTTACTATCGAAACCATCATTCATCAGTGATCAAAATCCAGGAAATCACACGAAATGCCGAAAGATTATTGAGTAGGAAAATTAGGTCTAGTGTTAAGCGAGTGAGATACAAATAAAGATCAGTTGTGTACACTTGTGACCTTCTTAACAATAATAAAACCACCAGACGCCGCATTTTCGGTTCCAGGACTTCCACTCGGTGGTCGCGTATTAACATGGAGGCCACACAAACAAAGCTTGAATAACGCACATTTTATCGCTATTTAATATAAGAAACCGACCGTACTTTAAACATACTTAACGTAGATAACATGTTTTATTAGGAAGGGTAAAAAACTTATAAACTGACTGGGTGCGAGTAATTCAAGCTGGGTGCGAATCGACCGAATACGAAACGTCCGTGGGTACGAAACGACTGGAAAGTAATCAGTCCCCTTTCTAACGTTTTCACGTTTTTTTTTCTTGCAGGAAATTCTATTCTCGAAACAATTGTCAAGATCCCAGGCGTATTTTTCCCGCTGAAGGCGAGCTGTGTGTGGCCAAGTACTCCAAAGACGATAAATGGTACAGAGCGCGTATCACAGGTGTGCGGGAGGACGAACTGCAGGTAAAATTAGAATGAAAGAAGGAATTCTTAAAATTGAGAGATGTAAAGAAGCAACCGAAAGATCTTTATTTAACGCCTGGTTGGGTGGGGGGGGGGTACCTCAACCTCCATTAGACTCTGTAATATTCCTATCCCACCCTAAATTGTAGTTAATTGGTAGTCAATTTTCTATAGTCCCCCCTTTATACTCTGTTGACGACGACCGATCCCCTTCGTTCCCCCTCAAAACCATGTGATCCCCATAAATCCCACGACCCCCTCCCCCAGCGGTAAATAATGACTGATCCTCTCTTGCTTAGAGACAGACAGCACCTGGTTCAACAGTGTTTTGATTCAGACCGTAACCAAATTGTATCTTAATGGGAACCAATTCGAAACTAGGTAATAACTTGGCAATGGGCAGCTAAATCTTCAAAAACAACTCGCTCTATTAGATAGTGACGGCAATACCATTTACATGAAAACACCCAGATTACAAAGCTTAAAAAAAAGATTTACTGAGTTATTACGGGAGGAAAAGGAATTTATCTCAATACAGGTTGTCGTTACACTTTGACGCCGATTGAACCCTAAGAGTGACTAGCATCTAATTTCTCCTGACCCCCTTCCCCCATGTTCCTCAACTCCTTGAACCCTAAGAGTGACTAGCATCTAATTTCTCCTGACCCCCTCCCCCCATGTTCCTCAACTCCTTAAACCCTAAGAGTGACCAGCATCTAATTTCTCCTTACAATATCACCCCTGAATCACACATTAAGGGCAGGAGAATAAAGGAAATGATCACCAGCTAAAGAAGCTCTTGATTGTTCAACAAATTCTCCTTGTCAACACCTCAAGGAAATGTATAGAGAACAGTATGGAGAATTTGCATACTGATGTTAGGGTGGAAAGGGTTAGCGGCTAACAGTTGAGCGAGCTAAACTTTAAGTGGTTAATTAGTTAAACGAACTGGCAGAAAACTACACAAATCATTTTTTGTTGTGTTGTTCGATTTTTAACCGCAAAAGCGAACGAAGAAAATTAAATCTACTCTTCCTAATTTCTCTAATCGCAATATGTCAATTGTGCTTTCGAAAACATTCCTCAGCACCCATCCGGCTCACATGCAATAGCTTTAAGCATTATACAATAGTCTTCCGTAGAGATCTATTTCAAAAACGTTAGAGACGCTAAGCCAACGTGAAACGTGAAATGTGAAACGCGAAAAGTGGAACGTGAAACGAGTACATTCACACGTTGTACCGTAAAGCCTTACCTTCAACGAAAAATCTAGATCAAAGTGTTCGTTCGAACAGCCTGCGGTGTAGTGCATGCCAATAATCACCCCAATGTCTTTTGGTATTGTGAGATATTCAGCTACTCGTTGCGCAGATGAGTAAAGAAGCACCATTATCATAGTCTATAGCTGGCGGTGGCCGTGGGCATTATAAAGTGGATCCTGCGTTCTGCTCAGGTTAATTTCTCCTTCAGGGGGCTGATATGCTGGCTGGGAGCCTGCTGTCGGCTGATAAATTCCGCGGCTGAAATATTGAATATTTGGATACTAGAAATTTCAATGTGAAAGTGGGTGCTGGCGTCATAGCTTGAAGGAAATACTGATAATACGATTTGAAATAAACGGAATTGTTAGCTTCAGCAAGCGATCCACATTTTGAAACTGTGATTGCAAACTTTTCTTTCGCCTCAGCGGGCAAATGTAACTCAATGGTCGAATTAGTTACCTCAACGGGTAGAGATTTTGACTCGACGATCTAAGTCAACGCCTCAGCGGGCGAAGAATATTGTAAATGATTTGCCTGTGGTACCGAAGTCGCTTTCGACGCAAAGTAGGTTAGCTTCACCCATTCCTCTCTTCTCTCGAGACCAGCCGAAGCTGCAGTCGATGGTTTACTCCGAATGAAAGTAATTTTGCCTAACACTTCACTGCTACTGAATGCACCGAGAAAAAAAAAATTATCTCCGTGAAGTAGGACATGATCGATATCTTGGCATCTCCATTCGCGAATCGGTGTTTTAAAGCATTTGAAATTGGCAGGGTATGACCCCCTTGATTAACAGATTGTTCAACCTATGAAACTTTGTGTTTAATTTGTGGTAGACAGTGACACTGGATTACCTTCCTTTCACGGGCATTTTAATTGTTTGCCGGCTTAGAGGCTCTATTCTTTCTAGAGTAAAGGTTTCAAAGAACCGACGCTTAGCCACTTTCCGAGCGCGAGATTCAAAACATTCGTTGACGACCAGATGTTGACAATATCACAATTCTCGGGGTGGGGTAAGGGAAATGTCGCTCAGAACAACGACAATTTTTCCGGGGGTACGGAAGGGAAACTTTGTTACATGAAGCGCGGGCTGTAGAAGTTATTTCTTTCTTCGCGCAAACCGGGGAATTTCAACGTTCAGAAGCACGCTAAAAGAGCTAGGGTTTGTATTTTTTAAATACAAATGGAAAAGCTGAAAATAACTACAGGCAAAACCCAGCAATCGGAAAAGAACCTCAAAAGGGGAAGCCAATTAATAAGCCTCTTTTTCTGGAAATTGTAACAGGGTTCTTGGGGAATTTAGTTACGAAACACTTTCAGTGCATTAGTTCCACTAGAGTATATATAACTTCCAACGCTTTCGTGGTCAGTTGTGTATTGTTTTCTCGTCTCTGTCTCTTAATCGTCAAAAAATAAGTTACCGGCCTAAAACATGTTTTGAGCGCAGCTGAGCGTCTTTGAAATTCGCGCTTAATTGACACCACCTTTTCTTGTTGTCATGCTAATGGAGTAAATGGTTATAGAGACGCGTGCACTTGACAACGACCATTTCGCTATTGTCACTTGACAACGAACATTTCGCTCGTGTCATGATCAGAAGAGATCGTCGAAAAAAAGTTTTCTTGAAAATGTTTTACAAGTTTAAGACAGAGAAGGCGCGGTTTCTTCATGTTCAGCTTCTCTGCAACTAACGCAGCCAAGATCTGCTGTAAGGCTGGAGTTCCTTGGTGGCCTGTCCTAAACACTTGTTTTAGGCGCTCGTTTGTATCCGTTTCATCCACTTAGCTATCGTACTCCTTTCCATGGCCACGCCAGCGGACGAGGTACTCAACGCGACCGTGAGCGTCCGTACGCTTATCGAGCACTTTCGATACTTCATAAAACTTACTCATGTTTCTTAGCTCTTTACTCGATCAGAGATTGTCAAAAGTTTGATTATGACTTGTCATGGAGATAAGACATTGAATCAATCGCTCCAAGTTTTTTTCCAATATTTTTACTCTTAACATCGCTGAGCTTTGAGATGAGTTTCTCTCAGCCCTTAGGATACGTTCAAATAAGCTGTAGTTTTAGATTACGCCGTATCTCCGGCTGTTGTGTGCAAGATTACAAGCCTTCTTTCATGGAAATGCCGAATCGTGCGAGCGGCCATATTGGAACCTGCCTTCAAAGAAAGAGCTTCAAATCGCTCTTAACATCGCTGAGCTTTGAGATGGGTTTCTCTCAGCCCTAAGGATATGTTCAGATAAGCTCTGGTTTTGAATTATGGCGTATTTCCAGCTATTGTGTGCGAGATTACAAGCCTTCCATTAGGGAAGTGCCGAATCGTGCGAGCGGCCATATTGGAAACTGCCTTCAAAGAAAGTTCTTCAAATCACAGCTCGCATATTCTGCTAACTGTACACCTTCTTTTAATCCCTGCGCTCTCGTGGTATCTCGAAGTGGTTACGTCGATTTTTTGCTAGGCCCGGCCAAGGTAATAAACTCCTCAAAAATAGGAATACCAAAGAAACTAAAGCCGGTCCAACATGAAGATCGCTCATCTCAATGTTAGATCCTTAAAATCGAGGGAATATTTTCAACTTGTTGAAGATACCATTATTCAAAATGGACTTTACATCTTTACCATTTCCGAAACATGGCTTGCTACTTCGGTCACCGATCAAAGTATTGAGATCCCTGGCTATCAAGTCTTCAGGCAAGATCGTGGGCCTCTTAAATCAGGTGGTGGGTTGTGTACCTATGTTAAAGCCAGCCCAAAAGCATCAGTATTGAATGAATTATCCTCTGTTTCTACTGATGGGTTTCAACAACTTTGGCTAAAAGTACAATGTAGAGCTTATAAATCGCTTTTGGTTTGTAACGTTTACCGACCGCCAAATTTATGAGCTAAAACCAGCTTCGACTACGTAGCCGAAAGTTTTGTGGATTCTCTGCTAGTGAACCTTGCTATCGTCAGACTTGGTGACCTCAACTGCAATCTCCTGCACACCTGCCCTGATACAAACCAACTCCTAGATTTTATTGCTACCTTTAATCTGACACAGCTGGTCAAGAAACCAACAAGAATTACAGATGCATCTTCGTCTCTCATTGATGTGATTATGATTACAGACAATTCCACTGTCAGTGGATTTTTACCCTGCCGCAACAACACCACCACCAGCAACATGGAAACATGATGAGTGCCCTGATGATTTTCAGTTTCATGCTGTCTCAGAACAAGAGGTTGGAAAGGTTATCAAGGGCTTATCTTCGAATAAAGCACCCAGCCATGATAAAATCACTGTCCGTGTCCTTAAGGACAGTTTGCCGGCCATATTATCATATTATATTATATTATTATATTATATTATCAGTTATTACAAGCATTATGAATAATGAATAATTCATTTAGTACCTCAACATTTCCTAAAGCATGGAAAATGGCCGAGGTCGTTCCTGTGTTAAAGTCAGGTTGTTTTAAAGATCCTTGTAACAACCGGCCTATCTCATTATTGCCTATGAATAATGAATAATTCATTTAGTACCTCTACATTTCCTAAAGCATGGAAAATGGCCGAGGTCGTTCCTGTGTTAAAGTCAGGTTGTTTTAAAGATCCTTGTAACAACCGGCCTATCTCATTATTGCCTATGAATAATGAATAATTCATTTAGTACCTCTACATTTCCTAAAGCATGGAAAATGGCCGAGGTCGTTCCTGTGTTAAAGTCAGGTTGTTTTAAAGATCCTTGTAA